AATGGCTATGTTCCTGGACTGCCACAGAGTCGACCGCAGTTCGAGTCCTGGACCTGGTGGCTTAAACTCACACCAGGCACATGTACATGTGTGCCCAAGATCCTGAGAGGAGAAGGGACTGTGGCATGGCCATCCCCCTTTGGGGGTGATTTCTCACTTTCTGTCTCTCTGTCTCTGTCTTTCTGCCGAGCACATGCACCCCACAGCAAAAAAAAAAGTCACCCCACAAGGGACGGCCACACTGCAATCTCCTCTTCTCTCAGGATTTTGGGCATGCATTCACATGTGCCTGGTGTGATTTTTTTTTTAAAGAATTATTTTAGTGAACTTTATTTATTATTATTATTTTCTAGTTTGATCAAAGAGAGGGGAAACTAAGAAAGCAAGCCACCACATCCAGGACTTGAACCACAGTTGGCCATGTGCGAGTCCAGCACCTTTAACCACCACACCACCTGGTGGCTCCATGCCTGGTGTGATTTTCAAGTTACCACATCCAGGACTCAAACTGCACAGTCGGCCATTGGTAATCCAGTGCCTTAACCTTCATACTACCTGCCAGCCCCAAGGTACCACTTTTAAATGTAATCGAAAGGTCACCTCCAAGTGACCTTTAGAAAACACATACCTTGACCAACATGGGAGGGGGCCTGGGTTCGCATTCCTAGACCTGGGTTCTAGGACCTCCCTAGAATCTCCAGGTGCACACATGCGTGTAAGCTTGTTATCTGTGCTGGCTGAGACCAGTGGTGGATTGTGGCATAGGGACTTGGTTGGGGACACCTTTCTCTTTTATAGAAAGAAATTAAAAAATAAATAAATAAATCAAAATGGAGTTCCTCTCTAGGCCAGCTTCAGAAGGATGTACTGGACCCAGCAATTCAGCAAGGTGAGGCCACATGGGAGGCCTGGTTTGATGCTAAAAGGCTGGGCAGAGTGGCATGCTCCCATTGTCCCAGCTATCTGGGAGGCTGAGGCAGAAGGCTCGAGACACAGTAATATGCTAATGCCTCTTGCCAAACACACATGGGCAGGGTCGTGGTACATCTTTCACTTCTTCCATCTACTCATTTTTCATACTTGAAGAATCACTGCCTCGGGAAGTTTTCCCTGAGCCCACAACCTGGGTTAGTCCTTGTTGCATGCTCCTGGAACTTAGGCCCTAACGCCTATCACTTTCTTGTTGCCTTTTTTTTATTTTTTGGCTGCACTATGAAATCCATTAAAACAAAGACCATGTCTGTATTCACTTCTACAATCCTGAAGTTTCTGATATAGGACTTACCATAACTATTCACTGAATGAATGAATGACTACTGGTATTATATGGGAGTACAGCCCAAGAAAAACTGAAGTGCTAGTGCTAACAGAGAAAGTATGAGTCAGAAAGGGTCTGCCAGGCCAGCCGAGGGAGTGGAGGGAGGACGGAGTCACCTGTCTTCAAGACACACCGTGTACCACACCACCACCTTGTTAGAACCCTGAAGTCACAGAAAGCAGTTTGCAAAATGTCTTCCAGTTACTGAATCTCTTAAGTCTAAGTGAAAATAAATATAAAGGTTATAAAAATCTTGGTATAGGGACAGCTGGTAGCATGGTGGTTGAGGAGCTGGATCCAAATGGCCTACTCCATGGTTCGAGTACCAGACCTGGCAGCTTGTAAAATATGCTGGGTAAGTCTGCATGTGTGCCCCAAACCTTGAGAGAATGGAGAAGGGATAATGATGTGGGCGCCTCCCCCCAAAAAAGCAAAACCTCTCCAAAAAAAGAAAAGAGAAAAAAAAAAAAAAGAAATCAGGAAAAACTTCAAGGTGTTAGAACTAGTATCATAAAATAAAGAAAATTCCTAAATCCTTAAACTTTGTTTCTGCTTTTCTTTTCATCTGGAGTTTTTGCTATAGGGCCCGTGTGCTCGCCAGAAAGACAGAGAGAGACAGAGAGACAGAAAGCGAGAAATCACCTCCCAGGGGGATGGTCACACCGCAATCCCTTCTCCTCCATTCTCCTCTCAGGATCTTGGGCACGCACGCACACGCGCCCGGCATGAGTTTAAGCCACCAGGTCCAGGACTCAAACCACGGTTAACTATGTGGGAGTCCAGCGACATAGCCATTGCGCTAACTGCTGGTCCCTAGTTTTTCCTGATTTCTTAAGGAGTAATTATATTTCTGAAGATTGGTAAGTCCTGAGGATGGCAACTCACTGCACTGTAATTTCTATTTATTTATTTCTTCCTTCCTTTCTTCCTTCCTTCCGTTTTCTTTTTCTTTTAGATTTTTGTCCTTGGGCATGGGTCTTGCCAGAGAGAGACAGAGAAAGTGAAAAATCACCCCTGTGGGGAGGTCAGCTACATGGGACGTAGCCATTACGCTAACTGCTGGTCCCTGCTTTTTTTTTTTTTTTTTTTTTTTGCAGGGATTTTTTTTTTTCCCCATAAAGCCAATTAAACCACCAAAAAAAATTGACAGCAGTTTGAGTCCTGGACCCGGTGGCTTAAACTCACGCCGGGCACGTGTGCGTGCATGCCCAAGATCCCGAGAGGAAAATGGAGGAGAAAGGATTGCGGCATGCCCATCTCCCTGGTTGGTGATTTCTCACTTTGTCTCTGTCTCTCTGGTGAGCACACACACCCTATAGCAAAAACCTCTCAAAAAAAAATAACAAGAATAATTTCATTTAACTTTATTTATTTTAATTTGACCAGAGAGGGACAGAACAAGAGAAAGAGAAGGAAAGTGAGAAAGCAAGCTGCCAGGTCCAGGACTCAAATCACAGTAGGCCATGTGGGAGTCCAGCGCCCTTAACCTCCACGCCACAAGCCAGCCCCTAAATCCTTAAATTTTGGGTCACAGAACCTACAAAGATTAATTGGTTGGCTTTAAGTTTTCTTTTTCTTTTTTTTGGTAAAGAGATTTTTGTTATAGGGCACACGCGTTTGCCGGAGACAGAAAAATCAGGAAGGATGGCCACGCCACAATCCTTTTCCCTCCATTCACCTCTCAGGATTTTGGACATGGACTCACACACCCCTGGAATGAGTTTCAAGCATCTGGGTCTGGGACTTGAACCATGGTTGGCCATGTGGGAATTCAGCTATGCAACCATTATACCATCTGCTGGTCCTGGCTTTGAGTTTTCTTAAATGTTTGCCTAAGCCTCAATTTCTTCCTTTTTTTTAATAGAGAGGGTTGTTTGTTTGTTTGTTTACTACAGGGCAAGTGCACTCACCAGAAAGACAGACAGAAACCAATCACCCAGCAGCAGGGGATGGCCATGCCTCAATCCCTTCTCATTCTCTCAAGATTTTGGGAAAGTACACACATGCACCCAGTGTTGACTTCAAGCCGCCAAGTACGGGACCTGAACTACAGGTCCCTATGTGGGAGTCCAGCAACATAACCATTATGCCATCTGCTGGTCCCCTAAGCCTCAATTTCTAACGTTTGACCACTCTCTACCAACTAGGTGATTAGTAAAAACCTTAGGCCAGGAACATAGCAATTATGCCACTGGACTCCCACATAGCCGACCATGGTTCAAGTCCCAGACCCAGTGGCCTGAAACTCAGGCCGAACACATGTGCATGCATGCCCAAAATCCTGAGAGGATAAAGGAGAAAGGATTGTGGCATGGCTATCCCTCTTTGAGGGTGACTTCTCACTTTCTCTCTCTCTGGTCAGCACACATGCCCTATAGCAAAAAAACTCTCTTAAAAATTAAAAAACTGATCATTCTTTTTTTTAAAAGAATTATTTTATTTCAGGGCTGGTAGATGGTAGCTAAGGGTGCTGAACTCCCAGTCTTTTTGGTGAATTTTTCCAGGTCAGAGGTTCTCTCTTCTACATCTGAGATTTGATCTTCTGCATGATCTAATCTACTTCAGATATTTTCAAGGGAAGTTTTGACTTTCTGTATTGCAGACTTCACCTCTAACAGTTCAGTTTGACTCTTTTTTTTGATACGTAGCTCCTCTTTCAGATAATGCAAGAACTTCCTCACTTCCTGGAACTCGTCTCTTTCTCCTGCATCTTCTGAAGTTCTTTGTCTCTATTCTCTTGCATCTCTGTTAGCTTTGTCACTGAATATTTCAAATTCTTTACATGACATTTCCATGAGTCCCCAACTCCCACATGACCAACTGTGGTTCGAATCTCAGACCTGGTGGCTTGCTTTCTCACCCCCCCAAACCCACCCCTCTCTGGTCAAATTAAAATAAATAAATAAATAAAGTTAAATAAAATAATTCTTGGAATTATTATTATTTTTATTTATTATTATCTTTATTTTATTATTATCTTTATTTTTATTTTATTTTAAATCTGACAAAAATATTGATCATTAAAAAAATAAAAACTTTAGGCCAGCCAAGTGGCATAGTAGTTAAGGTGACCAGATCCCACATGGCCAACTGTACAGTTTAAGACCTGGACCCAGCTGCTTGAAAAACATGCCAGGCACATAAGCATGCCTAAAATCCCAAGAAGAGAATGGACAAGGGATTACGGCATTGCCATTGCCCTGGAGGGAGACGCTTTTTCACTTTTCCTCTCTGTCTCCCTCTTTCTTTGTAGCGAGTACACATGCCCTGTGGCGAACTTAAAAAAAAAAAAAACCTCTTCATTAAAAAAGGAACCAAAAAGCACGGTGTCAGGGCAGAAGGCAGGCTTACCACAGATAGGTTTCACCCCTGGTTCTCTCACAACTCAGGTCAAGACTTCAGACAGGTCTAAAATGTTCCCAAGCCAATTTCCTCACTGGTAAAACGGAAGTTAACACTAGCCCCTCTCGTAGAACTGCTCAAGGAATATGGGAAATAAGGGAGCTAAAGCGCCTTCCGAGGAATGGAGCTCCAGTAACTGACAGTTTGCTGCCCGTCCTCCAGTCCTCTCCCGTGGCATTCTGTTTCTGCTGAAGGTTACCATTATGCCAAAGGAAGGCCAGGTGAGCTTTTCTTCTGAAGAGACAGAACTGCCCAAAAAACAGCCATCTCCAACACTCACCTTCTCTGCCATCCCCTCTTCTCCTCCAATGAAAAAGTCTGTTTTTCGTCGTAGGAAGCTGAAGAAAGTGTTCACAAGCTGGATGAGAAAAGGAGAAGACTGAAGTTGTAAAGGTGCCATGCTAGAAGCCCGACTTCCCAGGATCCAACTTCCCTCGTCTAGGGGAACACGGGCCTTGACCATGTCACCACTGAGCCTCCTGAGGACACATTCACGCCAACGGGTCCCCTTGGTCATTTCCATGAAGTCGATCCTAACCTTATCTAGATCACCCAGAAGGCAGAGTTCTCATTTCCTGTGAACGTGAAAAGTGCATTATGGGCTAGAAGCAGCCTGAATAGTCCTCTGCAGCCGCCAAATGCCTGGGCCCCACTTTTTTCTCCAGAAAGTAAAAAGTCCACAAAGCACTGGCTAAATTTCAAGGGAAAAGCCAGAGAAGGGGAGAAAACAGGAGCCAGCAGGTGGCATGGTGGTTAAGGGCACTGGACTCCCACATGGCCGACCACAGTTCGAGTCCTGGACCTGGCAGCTTCCTTTTGCACTTTCTCTCTCTCTCTCTGTCTCACTCTGTACCTCTCAGGTCAAATTAAAATAAATAAAGTTAAATAAAGTAATTCTTTAAACAAAAATGTGTGTGGGGGGGAAAGAAGGTAAACATGGACTGACTCTAGCTGAGAGGTATCAAGTGGTTGGGCTCATGAATTTGAGTATCAGACTGATACACGTTAGCTCTGAGGGGGAAGTTTCTGAACTCTGTAAAACATAAATAGCTACAGGACCTACTTCTCTACAAAAGGATTACCAGATGCTCAAATGAGGTAACCATGGTGGGATTCTTAGCCTTGTCTCACACAGAGCAAGAAACCTACTGGCAGAGGAGCCTCGGTGAACCACAGCTCACTCTGTCTACACCCACAACACACGCACTCACCAGTTTTGGCTCAGAGGACACACTCAGTAGAACTCTTGCAGAATGAAATGATCTAGTCGTAGCCTAAGGTTAGGACATGCGAGTCCTTTTATTTACCAGAGTGAGAAGTTTTAAATCTGATGCTAGAATTTACCTCAATGGCTTAAATTCTTGCTTCTGTCTCAATAGTCAGAAATGAGCTTGCTCTCAAATCCAGTTGTGTCAACAATTTAGGGAAACGGGGACAAGCAGCTTTTTCGAAACTGCAAATCAGAAGCACTCTCCCCACCACAAAGGCCCTGGAAGTCCTCAGTCATCACTGGCACCTCGGGAATAAACAGCTCAGTGAAAACTTGACCGCCGGGAGACAGAATGGGCAAGAAACTGTGAAAAGCACACTAGCCTGAGGAGCCTGGGGAATGATTTTAGGCAAATCTCTGCCACTCTCTGCCTGTAGCTACTTTATAGAATTGAGTTCTGGACTCATTTTCACAGGCATTTTCTACCTCTATTTCTGTCCGAGACAAACTCCAGAATCTAGGTTGGGTCGGTCCATATCGTTCATACACAATGATGCATGATAGTGTCTAGTTGCCCAGCATTAATTATGCTTTCAAAAACGCTCTTTGTAAAACAGGTTTCTGTTCATCTGTATCTCCAGGATCCAGACCAGGAGTGTTTGGCAAATACCTGTTGAAAGAACATGCCTGACCACTGAGAATTCACTGCTCTTTGCTTCAAAAAACTCTCCTATAACCATTCAGGAAAATTGGGGATTCGTAATTTTATCTCGCAAACACTAAAACTGAGTGAGGCTCAGAGAGCTGAAAACGCCCGACGATGGCAAGTGGTGAAAACCAATTGCGAACACAGACCTCTGGTTCCAAACCCAGTCAAGCCTGAAAAGACCACGTGCTAACGGCACCCCGCCGCTCCCCCTACCCCATCCGAGGCCTCGCTCCAAGTTTGGGTAGATACAAATCACTTAGTCTGGGACGGTTCATTCCAATGGCTGCTCTACGGGAGCGGGCATCAAAGAGAGAGGAGAACGAAAGATGTGTAAGACCAAAAGCTGGGGGTGCCCTATGGCTCCGGGGGAATTCCAAGAGCAAGTTCAGGGAAGCCGGAATTACTAGCCTAAGTACTACAGAGGGGCGCCGGAGGCGACCGACAGGAGAGGTGCGACCTCTCAGCTCCCCGCAGGACCGCCGGACCGGAAGCTGGGGCGCGGTGAGAACGTGGAGGCTTCCCGAAGCCCGCGAGGACCACCGAAGGCACAGAAGGGCGCAGGGAACGTGGCGAGGACTGCCGGGCGGGCGGCTACCGCTGGGCCAGGCCCCGCCGGCGCCGCGTGGGCCATTACCTCCTGCACGCCGCCTTCGTGCTGCTGAGCCATGGCCAGCAACATGCCGTCGAACCGCTCCTCCTCCTGCTCTCCGCCCATCGCGCCAGGCCCGACCGCGCTCCAAGCTCTGCACTAGCGTCCCCGCTCCCCTTCGCGCAGCACCGGGCCCAACGGGCTGCCGCTGGGCCAGGCCCCGCCGGCGCCGCGTGGGCCATTACCTCCTGCACGCCGCCTTCGTGCTGCTGAGCCATGGCCAGCAACATGCCGTCGAACCGCTCCTCCTCCTGCTCTCCGCCCATCGCGCCAGGCCCGACCGCGCTCCAAGCTCTGCACTAGCGTCCCCGCTCCCCTTCGCGCAGCACCGGGCCCAACGGATCCAGTCGCCTGCCTTCCGCAGCGGAGCCGGAAACACGCACGCGCCCGGCCGCCCAGGCCCGCCTTCTGCTCTCTCTTCCCGCCTCCGCCCCGGGCTGCGGCCACTGACCGCGCGGCAAACAGCCCTCTTCGCCAACCATTGGTCAGCTTGCTGAGCCAATCAGTGAGCACGTTCGTGAGTGGGTGGGCGGAGCCGAGGACCCGAGAGTTTGGCCTGAGTTGCTATGGTCACCAGGTGCGTTTTGGAGCCTTCTAGAAAGCCCTGGGCTCAAATATGATGGGGTTGGATATTAAGAAGGGACAAACTTTGCTCCTGTGCGGTTTTTTTTCTTTCCTTTTTTTTTGGAGAGGTTTTTGCTATAGGGCGCGTGTGCTCACCAGAAAGCCAGAGAGAGAGACAGAGAGACAGAAAGCAAGAAATCACCCACCCCCCCAAGGGGGGATGGCCTAGAAATAACCCCCCAGGGGAAATGACCACACTGCAATCCCTTCTCCTCCATTCTCCTCTCGGGATCTTGGGCACGCATGCACACTCGCCCGGCGTGAGTTTAAGCCACCAGGCCCGGACTCGAACCGCAGTCAACTACATGGGAGTCCAGCGACATAGCCATTACGCTAACTGCTGGTCCTCTCCTGTGCGGGTTTTTTTTTTTTTTTTTTTTTGAGAGATTTTTCACTGTAGGGCGCGTGCGCTCGCCAGACAGACAGAGAGAGACATAGAGACAGAAAGCGAGAAATCACCCCCCAGAGGGGATGGTCATGC